CTACGTAGATAAAGTGTCATAGGCTTACTCTTGTGGTGAGGGGATTCTTTTGGCTTCCAGAAAAAGGCAAGCCTGGACCAACTTAGGATGCCTCAACGTTGCCTCTTGCTCCTTGGGGTCTTACCTAAGGTAGAAAGGTCAATTCGAAATCTTTATAGTGACTCCCAAAGAGGCCCTTCTGCTCTGTTTGGGCTTTTAGTCTCTGCCTCCTTATCACCTTACTGTGTAGGTCATTGACTTCAGAGGTGCACAGCACAGAGACCCCTCTGTAGAACTCTTCTCCTTTGTAGATGCCCCCGGGGGGTGCAAGTCTTAGCATGCTGCTTGCTGTATGTGCTGGGTAGCTTTAGTGTCAACTTGCACACCTGGGTTGAAGAAGCCTCAATTGGGGAATTGCCTCTATTGGACTGGCCTGTGGCCATGTCTGAGGGGCATCTTCTTGATGAGTGATGTGGGAGGGCCCAGCCCACTGTGGGTGGTGCCATCCCTGGGCAGGTGGGCCTGTGTTGCATAAGAAAGCAGGCTGAGCAGGGGCCAGGGGAGCAAACCAGTAAGCAGCATTCCTCCATGGCTTGTGCTCCAGCTCCTGCCTCCAGATTCCTGCCCTGAGCTTGAGCTCCTGCCTTGGGCTCCCAGATGAACTGTGACCCAGGATATGTAAGCTAAATAAACCCTTTCCTCCCCAAGTTGGTAGTGGTCATAGTATTTTGTCACAGCAACGAAGAACAAACTAGACACTGTACATATTCTGGGTGGCTCCCTTGTGGGTGGTGAGATCATATTGTTAGGGTCAAAGATACCCAAATTGGGTTCTTGAGTCTGTCCCCAGCTAGCTCTGTGACCTTGGACAAAAGGTCCAGGTGCCTCAAGTCTGCTTCAGAGCTGCAGGGAGGAAGCAGCAGGTGCACTGGTTCACTCACCGAGCTGTTGAGTGGATTCTGAGGCGGCTCACTTTCCCTGTCTGGTCCTCTCTCAGGCTCTTGGTCTCTAGAATGATTACTGATCTCCAAAGTTCCTGCCTTCAGCAATGTTCATTGAACCCACAGTCTGACATGTGACCCCCAAGTTCCTGTCTTTCTAGTGTGACTTAACGTTAGCTCTTCCTTCAGAACAAAATGGAAAAAACCATGAGTCCTTATTCTTAGTCATTATGAGAGAGAACTGTGCTGCATGGCAGGGGCTGCTCCATCAAGGAGTCTCCAACAGGCCTTGAGTGTGCATGCGTGCGTGCGTGCGTGCATGTGTGTGTGTGTGTGTGTGTGTGTGTGTATGTCTGGAGCAGACAGGAGTGGGGACTGTCCTCCATCTGCCCAGCTTTGCATGTATACTTCGGCAGAGCAAACATCCTTGTATCTGTTTAGATGCCCCAGGAAGGAGTTAAAACAGCACCTCAGCATGGATTCAATGAAATTGCAGAAATTAGAACTAAGGCTGATTTAATGTGGGGAAAAATAGATGGAGCTAGGGATACTAGGAAGTGTAGTTGGGAGGAAAGGAAAGTTCTGGATGGCCATTTAATGTTTCAAGGCAGCTATCACCTGCCCTCCACCAGGGCTGGGCAGACTGCTGTAAGTGGTTAGGAGAGCCTGGGATATCTGATCAGAACATTAGATGGGATAGTGCCAGATGCCCTCCGGCCCCATTCTGCTCCAGTCCTGTGCTTGATGCTCTGTGTGTGTGGTTTGACCATGGGCCTAGCAGGCCAGGTAAGGCTCTTGCCTGACCCTCTGGAGTGAGAGAGACCTAGAAGTATGCTTGGGAAGAAAAGTGGGTGCCACAGGCCTGGCACCACCTAATCTTGAAGCCCTAGTGAGGTTCTCACAAGGTCCAACTCTGTGCCTCCTACTGGCTGGGTCCTTCTCCACATGGATGGGTTACAACCCTGAGCAAACAGACACTTCTGTCCTCAGTGTAGCTGGAAGATAGGCACATGCTCCATTCAGGCTAGGATTAGTGCCGGGAGGAGAACCAAGTCAAAGGTGGTCCTGAGTGATGGACAGGGAACAGGCCCATGTAGAATGGCAAAGGTGGGCATCTCAGGAGGAGACATGGATGAGGGAGGGAGGAGGCCAGGAACTGAGAGGGAGAAAGAGCCTTTTAGGCCAGGGATCGATGGGCTGTGGTGGAGTTTTAATTTTATCCTAGGTGTGAGGGGAAGTCATTGAGGAGTTTTGAGGAGGGGAATGATCTGGTCATACAGTTGTCCTTCAGAATCTGCAAGCCCTGAGTCAGTGAATTCACCCAATTGGAATAGAAGACATTCTATAAAAAGATATTTGTTGTACTGAACAGAAGACTTTTTTCTTTTCATTCCTTAAACAATACAATATAACAACCATTTGTATTAGCATTTACATTGTATTAGGCATTATAAGTAATCTAGCCATGAGGTAAAATGTATAGGTCATTTAAGGGACTTTGAGCATCTAACAATTTTGGTATCCACTGGGGGTTCTAGGGCATGTCCTTTGGATACCAAGGGATGGTTGTATTTTCTAAGCATTGTTCCTTACTTGGTTAGAGGCTTGGGAAGAGGTAGATTGCAGACAGATTGGAGCAGAGAATCAGGAAGAAAATGCTATGGTTTTTGTATTTTTGGTCTTTTTGAGACAGGGTCTCCTTATAGTCCTAGCTAGCCTGGAACTTGCTATGTAGACCAGGCTGGCCTTGAACTCACAGAGCTCTGCCTGTCTCTGCCTCCTGAGTGCTGGGATTAAAGGTGTGCGCCACCCCGCCTGGCTGAAAAAACCGTGTGTTTTGAAGATGAAACAGCAGCGGTTCCGAGTCAGTCACTGTGAGGCCTCTTTCTCTCTGGTGGGTTTTCTCCTAAATGGCTAAGGGGACATACAGCAGTAACGGAGAGGGAGAGGGCAGAGCTGGAGGGTTGGAGAGCTGGAGAGAAGAGCGGAGAGCTGGAGAGGAGCAGGCTGGGGGCCGAGAGGCCACAACAAGATGGTTAGGTGTGAGACTCTGGAGAGTGGTGAGGCTGGTGATCTGGACCTGTCAGTCCTGGAGTACAGGTAGTATTTAGAACTATGGGAATCATGTGACCCCTCCTAGGGTCTTAGACTGAACTGTGAGTCTTGCTATCTGGGGTGTAAAAGCACTAAGGGAAAGGGGAACAGCAGGCAGGGAAGAAGACAGCCCCAGTGGTGTGTGCTGGGTATCCATGGACCTGGTTGAAGGATGAGGTCAGATGAGAAAGACTTCAGGCTCAGTTAAGAGAGAAGTCACTGGAGGCCTTGAGGACTGGTGAGGTGACCTTTTGGTTTGCTTCCCATGCCATTGTGAAGCCCTGGGAGGAAGAGGAAGTAGTCAGGTGGTCCATTCAGGGAAATAAGGCCCTTACCTACTAAGAAACTGGTGGATATGGGTTGGCAGAAAAAGACTCGAGCCCAGCCCTGTGTAGTCTGAGCCTAGCAGTCCAGGGAGCTTGCCTGTGAATTCTAGGATGCTCAGCCAACCAGTCTTTGCAGGGAGCGGTGAACGGTGAACGGATGAATCCAGCCTTGGCTGAAGCCTTTCTCTCACACCTTTTGGTCTTGGCTTTCTTTGGGTGCTTTTTAAAATGTAGACTTGGGAACCTGAGAGGGCTTATTTAGTTGGGGTTGAAAGACGCCAAACTGAACCAGCCATGGGGAGCTGTGAATCCTCTGAAATTCTCCACAAAGTATGAAGCCTGTGTGCATTTTATGAAAGTGATCTAAAAAACAGTGGGACCCACAGAATGTTCATCACGGGGCCTTTCCTTCCCATTCCATCCACGTGAGTCTGGCACTGACTAAAATAGGCAGAGACGGCTTAAAGCTTGAGCATACAGTTTGGAAGGTTGAGAGTCATATAGAGAAACCCTGCTCTGTAATTTATTGTCAAGTCCTGAGAAATGGCAGTGAAACGCCAGCATGTTGTAGAGCAGAGGACGGGAAAACACGAGGCAGCTTCATTCCCAGAGCATGAGGTCTTTCAGTTTTTTTTTTGTGTGTGTTTTTTTTTCTTTTTGGTCTTTTTGAGATAGGGTCTCCCTGTAGCCCTGGAACTTGCTATGTAGACCAGGCTGGGATTGAGGCCTTTTAGTTTTATTGGAAAAACCCTATCTGTTTTAGGGACCTGTGTGGTACACTTGGGTGGTACACTTAGACCATAGAGCTGCAGGTGGGAAGTTGGGGTCACAGTGATTCTCTTCTGGGTGAGCTCACTGCTTAATGCAGGCTTGTTTTAATTCATTAGCTTATTACCCAGCATATCCTGAGCACGTGTGTGCCTCCTGCTGCATATAGGTGCCATGAGAAGGAGGTTCCACCCTGCAGTGAACGGCATAGGTAGCTGCTTGTCTGCTTGGAGTCTGAATCCTAGGCTGTAGGCCTGAGGATACACAGATGGTCTCAGGCTGTGCTTTCCCCTGGCCTTGTCATACAGCTGTTCTGGTCCATGCAGTTCCTTAGCTGGGCTAGAGGCCCCTGGTTCACCCGGTCAGCCATAGAAGGGCAGTGACCACACACTGGAGCATACTAAAGTGAGTGGAGTGAGATTAGGAAGGAAACAGGCACAGTCTGTGTGTAGTCTCTTCAGAACAGGGTCTGCTCTGAGGTCTTCACGTCTGCCGCCTTGGTCATGAGGCCATCTGAGGTTGAAAGCATCTGTTAAATGTTCAGAGCAGCTAGGTGCTGGTTGTCCTCAGTCCCAGTGTCCCTTTCCTGGTATCGGGAGCCCCTGTAGAAGTTGAGCATCACCCTGAACAGAAGCACCCAACTAGAACATAGACTTTGCTCTTAAGAGGCATGTTTGTAGTGCTGTTTTTTTTTTGTTTTTTTTTTTTTTTTGGTCTTTTTGAGACAGGGCCTCCCTGTAGCCCCAGCTGTCCTGGAACTCACTATGTAGACCAGGCTGGCCTTGAACTCACAGAGATCTGCCAGCCTCTGCCTCCCGAGTGCTGGGACTACAGGCGTATGCCATGCCCGGCTGGTTTTTTGACTTCTTTTCTTCTCTCTCTCCCTGCTCAGTTGGCTGGCGTTGTCTTCCTCGGAGTTGGGCTGTGGGCATGGAGCGAAAAGGTAGGTGCACCCTCTCCCAGCCCAGTTGTCAGGCAACCAGACTGGAATTGTCCCTCCTCCAGTCTGTTCCTCACAAGTACTTCCTGTGAAATGTAAGATTTGTAGCACTAACCCTCCAGACCTGTTCCCACTGCCCCCACCCCCCCAGACCTGCCTCAGAAGCTGCCTCTGCTCCTGGAGGTAAGGCTGCGGTGACCATTGCTGGACCAGTTAGGGTTTGGGTGTTGTGAGCTCTGTATGAGATTCTTCCCTCCTTTTTCTGGAAGCTCCAAGGAGCCTTAGGGCTTGGCAACTGTGCCTGAGACAGGCCTGGTGTTGCCTCCTAGACCCGGTCCATACCCATGGGAACAAGTGAGCAGGTCCCCGATAAGAGGCATGTTTATTCCTGAAGCACATGTTCTTGACCACAGAAAGAGGGAGCAGGGCCTAGTTTTGTGCCCTTTGGTACCCTTGGGGATCAGTCTTGGCTGGTCTTTAAGCATCTATGCACCCAGTGTATGAGAGTGGGGAGGCCAGGTCTCACTGTGAGGCCATTCAAGGAGGCCTGGAGCTCCTGGGGGTAGGGAGCAGCCTTGATGCTGACCTTACCCCATGGTACCTTAGTGGTACCCAGGGCTAGGGGGTTTAGATGGTGAGGGCTAAAATCCTTATAGGGCCAGGGGTGGTGGGGGATGAGGCAGGAGTCGGGGAAGCCAAGCAAGGTGGAATAGTAAGCTATAGTACCTTTGGTTCCTTTGGTGGAAACTGCCTTTGCTTCCAGAAAGGAGCAGAGAAGCACTCATGTCTCTGAGGAACTGGATAAGTTCTGCCTTTGAGTCTAGACCCCTTTCAAGGTGGCCTGTGAACTGGATGGCAAGAGCTAGCTAGAGTGCAGTGTCCCTGCTCCAGTGACCTGGAAGCAGCAACCCATGACTAACAGCACCACCGTGTGGCCGCCTTTAGGACTGCAGCAGCATGATCTGGCAGAGCCTTGAGCCTGGAGCTGGGAACCTGGGCTGGTTACTCTTTTCTCCTTTTTCCTTTGAGTTTCACAGAATTGCTCTGCCCATTATACCTGCGACTCGGCACACATGCTACTTGTATTTGAATATGATGAACAATTTTAAATCACTTCTGAGATGTTCCTAGCTACCTTCCAAGTATTCAAGCACAGTGAAAATACAGAATGCGTCTATCAAAGAACATTCTACGGGCAGTACCATGACCTTCATCTACCCTTGCTGGGTGTGTTTATACAAGAGTGTCAGATTTTTTTGTTGTGATTTTTTTGGTCTTTTTGAGACAGGGTCTCCCTGTAGCCCCAACTGGCCTGGAACTCATTGAGAATCTGCCTGCCTCTGCCTCCGAAGTGCTGGGATTAAAGGCACCACCACGCATGATGAGTGTCAGGGTTTTAAAATTTTTATTTTATGTGTGTGAGTGTTAGTCTACATGTATGTCAGTGTACCAATGCATGCAGTGCCCATGGAGGCCAGAAGAAGGCATTGGATCTCCTGGAACTGGAGTCATACACAGTTGTTAACTGCTATGTGGGTGCACTAGGAACTGAACCTGAGTCCTCTGCAAGAGTAGCCAGTTCTCTGAACTGCTGGACTCTCCAGCCCCAAGAGTGTTCATTTTGAGGCTGTTTTTGACCTGTTTACCCTCAAGCCATAGAATTCCCCCCCCACACAAAGGCCTGGTCAAGGCACCCTATATACCACAGAGAAAACTTGAGGTTGTGTTCACAGAACCCCCCCAATCTAGCCTCAGTTTGGACCTGAAACTTCCTGGAGGGTGTTTGGGTCTTTGAGGGCTAAGGTGGGCAAGGATGCTAGACACAGGGGTTCTAGGTGACCTGACTCTTAATGATAGGACTGAACTTTGAAAAGCAGGTTGCTGGTGTCAGTTGCTGGCCTAGCCTGCCCCCCGGGGACTTGATGCCCTCTCAAGGCCAATGCTGCCCTTCTCTTTCTGCATCTTCCAGGGTGTGTTATCCGACCTCACCAAAGTGACCCGGCTTCATGGAATCGACCCTGTGGTGCTGGTCCTGATGGTGGGCGTGGTGATGTTCACCCTAGGCTTCGCAGGCTGTGTGGGGGCCCTAAGGGAGAACATCTGCCTGCTCAAGTTTGTGAGTGATCCTGGAGCTTGGTGGGCACGATGGGGGAAGGGTGGTGGGGATAGGGTATAATCTTTACTGCTTTCTGGCCCAGGCAGTAGAAACAGCTGCTGCCTCACTGGAGGCAAGATTTTAGGGGGAAAAAATGCAGGTGAGTTGGTTCCTCACCTCTGAGAGGAGAATGGGGCTCCCTGTGGGTTCCTCCCTCCCCATGTAGGAGGAGCAAGCAGTTTGCAGGGGCTCCACCGCCCCCTCCTTTGCTTCTTATCTCCCCTTAGAAATTGTAAGGGAATTGTTTGTTTGCTGCTCACCTTTGCCCTTCCTGGCTAAGATCAAAAGAGACTGCCAGTAACAGGAAGAAATAATTTCCCTCCCCTGGGGTTTGTGAATCTATTGGATGTGTATGCAGAATCCTTAATTTTCTGGCAGAACTGCGAGTTACCAAGAGTTCCATTTTATATTTAAATATGAATTCATTTTTAAATGCATTCGGTTAAAATTAAATAGCACCTGGTGGGGAAAACACTACTATTTTTTCCACAATCTATTATTTGTTGAGTTTATTAGGTCAAGCTTTCTTCACTTAAAAAAGCAAAACGTGCTTTTTCCTAGGTTCTTTCCCTTTAAAACGCTGTGTTTAGCGTCTTGCTTCCATGGGAGCAGACGTGCTTGTGGTTCCTCTCTGGCTAACTTGGCAAGGCTTCTTCATTTCCTGGATGTGGCAAAGCTTTTTAGGATCCTTTGTGGCTGTGAGAACACAGACTGTCCTGCAGGCCACATGGGGAGCATCACCTGCGTCCCAGTGGCTGCTCAGATCCTGGTAGATTGCCACCACTGCCTGTAACTGGTCAGCTGTGTTTCTAGAAAGGTCCGCCTTGTGTCTGGTGATCCAGCTCTCACAGTGTGGGTACTGATAACACTGGCACCCCCAGAGTGGTGAAGAACCCTGACAGGGAACTCAGATGGCCTGTGTAAGGTTATGTGGTACATGAGTTAGTCTGTCCCAGTGCGAGTGGCAGATGAGATGTCTAGGATGGTTGTATGGAGTGGAGGACAGATAGTGCCTGTTCAGGCTGTCTGGAGGCAGCCTGGTGGGGAGGTCAGCCATTTACTCCTTCTCCACGGGACTGGGGATGGAAGATAAAGACTGCCTACTACGTAATGGTAGCTTGGAGCTTTGTCATCCTGTCACACATCTCAGTTTACCACTTGTGCGGCGTGTGTCATGTTTATAGAGGGGATGAAGCTCTGCACAGGGTCAGGTGGGGTGCATGGGGCTGGGGCATGGTGACTGTGTGCTCACCCCACTCCTCTCCTTGTGCCCATGCAGTTCTGTGGGGCCATCGTGCTCATCTTCTTCCTGGAACTGGCCGTGGCCGTGCTGGCCTTCCTGTTCCAGGACTGGGTGAGGGACAGGTTTCGGGAGTTCTTCGAGAGCAACATCAGATCCTACCGGGACGACATCGACCTGCAGAACCTCATCGACTCCCTTCAGAAAGCCGTAAGCTCTGCCCCTGACAGGCTCCCTGCCTACTGCATGTCCTGTCCTGACTTTTCCTGCCTCTGGTCAGTCTGGGCTGTTCTGCAGCCTTGGTGGGGCCACAGGCCTTCCCTCAGTGGATTTTCTGCACAGCATGGCAAATGACAGAAGTGGAGTGTACCCCTCTGCTCTGCTCAGCTCAGCCTCGCCACGCTGCTGGCAGGGCCATCCAGGCTCCCTCTCAGTATACTGGATTGGGCAGAGATGTCATAGACCCAGCCCAACCATCTTTCCACTCCTGGAGCTCATCCCTCCAGTTTGAGACCAGCGCTCCCCAGCCTTGCCCAGTAACCACACTGGCAGTCACAGTCCTCTACAGGACCTTGGGCCCTGTGGGTATGGAGGGAAGAACTCCTCCTAAGCTTGTGACTCACAAGCTATTCAAGTCTGAGCTATTCCTGTCCTCTTCCTCTCTGGGACCTTTTCCCCTTCCTGTTTGAGAAGGGTAAGCTGCCTGGAGGAAGACTTCTCAGATGGAGGGATGTGACCTCTCTGGAACTTTCCCCAGGGGGTTGAATAAGCAAGCCCAGGCTGTGTCCCTCAGCCTTCCTGCCCCCTTCTCCATGTGTAGAAGCTGCACCTGGAGGCTTGGATCAAGGCTACCCTGTGACCTCCTGGGAGGAGCTCACTCCCTGCCACAACAGCCTGTTTGATCTGCCTCTGCCAGGAAACCCAGCTTCTGCAAGATCTTTTCTATGTAACACTTGGTTCCAAAGAGGAAATAAACTAGAAAGCACTAAAAATAACTCTGACCCACTCTATTACTAACCAGAACTTGTTTACCCTGTTTTATGTATCACGGGTCCAGCAAAACCCATTTACATGACCAGAGAGGCTCCTGTGTTTTGTTGCTGACCTGCTAGTGCCACTCATCCCAGCCGTCTTTGGGTGTCTTAGCTGCTGTTCTTTTCCTGTTCAGTGTCAGTCCTCTTTTTGATGGTCACAGGGCCTCGGTTCCGTTAGTTTCTGGTGCTTCGAAGCTCCCTGCTCTTCTAAAGGATGTGTTTCCTCTACTGCCTCCCTCCCCCAGTCCATCTCGCTCTTTTGAGACAGGTGACAGGGTCTTGCTGTGTAGCCCAGGCTGCCCTCAAGTTTGCAGTCCTTTCACCTTTACCTCCTGAGTGTTAGAATTAAAGGCATGCTTGTGCCCTGCCATGCCTTCTTCTTTTCCTTCTAAAAATAAAGAGGGATTCAGTGAGTTCTAGAGCTTCCGTGGGATGCTGGTTTAGATGGTCATTAAAGTATCTCCTACATGAAGGAGTAGGGATGCAGAAGATGGGGTTTTCCTCTGGAAAAGTATGGGGGGAGCAGAAATTCCCATTGTTCTTTGACTACTGCTGTCACCATGCCAGCCTTCACAGTAAGGGCAGGAAGGAGACCTGTTCTTGGTGGGTGCTGATCCCGTCATGGTGCTGTTCTTGGTGTGCTGGGTGTTTCACCATATATGGGCTGATGCAGAATGACTTTGCAGCTATACCACACAGTAGAGAGTGGAGGGCAGAGGCTCGAGGTTGGGGCAGAGGTTTATGAGTTGCTCTGTTCACCCATCTTAACTCACTCCAGTCATAGACATTTAACAGTTGTTTCTTATAAAAAGGGCAAAAAACGATAACTAGGGTCAGTATTTGTCAGGGAGGAAGGCCTACTTCCCACACAGTGTTCTCTGGGTTAGGAGAGGGGTACATCAGAGAGGCCTTAAAGGAGAGAAGGGGTTTGCAGGGTCGTGGTAGGGCAGTACTGTGCTATGTCCTGTGCTTAGGTCAGGCGCACCTCTGAGCCAGACTTGGGTTGCACAGAGGAGATGGCATGGCTGCAGTTTCCTTCTTAAAGGGCTACTTTTGGGTGGGGTCACTCAGCATCTCTGTGGGCCTTGGTGTCTCTGGTAGATGGAAGCATGCTTTTCTCTGCCATCCAAAGACATCTTGTGCTGGGTGACCCTGGCCCATCTCAGATGGCTCTTGGCTTTTGTGATTGTAGAACCAGTGCTGTGGGGCTTATGGCCCTGAAGACTGGGACCTTAACGTCTACTTCAACTGCAGTGGTGCCAGCTACAGCCGAGAGAAATGTGGGGTACCCTTCTCCTGCTGTGTGCCAGATCCTGCGGTGAGTGCATGTCCTTCCTGCAGCCCAGCAGTGTCACTCCCAGAGCCCTCCGGGCTGCCTACTTTCTACACACAGATGGACTCTGGGTACCCCCTCCACCCCTCCCTTAGGCCCTTTGCAGCTCTGAAATCCTGTACTTAAAAGTTGTAGGAACCTTCGTGTTTCTTGGCTCTGTGCTGGGTAAAGCAGGAGGAACGCTCTCCTTTCTTCAGCTGACTCCCCTCAGGGTTGCCATGAGGGTGGCAAGCTCTAGTCTGCCCCTTGTACTTTCTCTGAAGAATTTACTTGGTACCCAGAAGCCCACAGGGGTTCTGAGGGCACACTTTATCCTCTGGGAGACAGCATCTCCATTGTGGAGGATTATTTTCTTTCTTTTTTACCTGCTTTCATTCCTAGTCCAAGTCTGGGGTTTCAGAAATTGAGTTCTTGGGGTAAGCCGGGAAGGATTTTTCCTGAACAGACTTGGGCCCTTCACAAAGCTGTCTGCACAGTTCTGTGATGCCTGGCTGGCTACAGTGCTCTGAGAAAGCAGGCCATCACTCTGTTACCTGGGCCAGGTCCCCAGCCTGGGAGAGGCCCAGGTTTGCTGAGCTTGCACAACTGGTGTCTGAGGTCTCCAAGAATGTCTGTGAAACATACACTGCAGTAAGGGTTGTGTTTAGCAAGTGTAAGTTTACCTCTGAATACAAAGATTGACATACTGTGGCCCAGGGCCTGAATCTGCCTGGCTGTTTTGTGTGATCTGTGAGCCAAGGATGCTTTTAGATAGTTTTCACTGGTTGGTGTAGTCAGTTTCCCATCACTTTAATAGAGTTTCTCAGGTAATGAAGCGGCAAGGTTTATGGGGTTAGTGGTAGAACACATGTTTAGTATGTAAGAGGCCCTAAGTGTAATCCTAGAATTATAAAGATTGATTTTGCTCACACTTATAGAGGTTCTAGTTTATCATCATGAAGCCCTGTTGCTTTGGGGTCTGTGATTCCTGGTGGAGCTGAAAGGGAGCACGTGGAGAGGAGACTGCCCGCCGCATGGCTAAAGACCAAAGCAGAGTCCACGATCCCCTTGACATGTCCCTAGTAACCTACGAGCTTCCTACTAGGCCCATCTCCTAAAGGCTCCACCACCTCCCAATAGCAGCACCTTGAAGACTACTCCTTTAACAACACGAACCTTTAGATTCTTCATCTGAGCTCTGGCATGGTTGAAGAGAGAAGAGGGCCACTGTTTTGTGATGTATGAAAATTTGTATGAAATTCAAATTTCAGTGTCTTCGTAGTTTTCTGGAAATACAAGCAGGCCTGTTCAGCTGTGTGCTGTCCAGGTCTGTTCTCTTGCCCATGAGGCATTATGGCGTCTCCATTTGCAGGCTGTGTCTCCAGTATTTACTGACCTAGCTGCTGCGGAAGCAGCTCACTGACCCTGTTCAAACCTGCAAGGGTAGTTGGCAGCTGGTGACGGGAGGGAGCTCCAGTGGAATTCCGCAGGTGTTTCCTGGTTCTAGGTTGGGATTTTTCTAGAACCTCCTGCCACCAGGTTTTCAAGAGAACAAAGAGTGGCTAATTTTTCCTAATTTTTCTGCCTTTCCTACAGCAAAAAGTTGTGAACACACAGTGTGGCTATGATGTCAGGATTCAGGTAAGGACCCTAACATACAACTTCAGGAGGGCCCCAGGGAGCCAGTTCTTTGTTTTATTCCCTGTGGCCTAACTTTCTGCTTTAGCAGAAGTAAAAATTGGAGTGTGAAAACTGGGAGAGGTTAGATGAGAACCATCTAAGCCGGGTATGGATGGAGTCTGGGGACAATGTTGTATGTACACACAACTCCCCCCACCCACATATACACCAGGCGTACTTTCTGAACTGGCAGCAGGATGCCTGGGAATAGTGGTGGGTAGAGATTTGAGGCCCTGTTACTACAAAGCCCTGTGTCCCCCAACATAACTATTGCTGCATTAGAAGTAGTGTGGAAACTGGGGGAAGCAAAAGCTGTGTGTTTAAGAGGCATCTGTTGTAGAGGAGTTTAAGATAAAGATGCCGGAGTGTGTGGCTTGGTCCAGCTTCCACATGGAGGTAGTAATGGCAAGAGGGAAGTGCCTAGGCTAGAGTGGGGCTCACAATCCAGTGCTTCCTTCAGACCTCAGAGAGTAGGGGCCTTGGATATGAAGAGAAGACACCCAGAAGGCATACACACCCCCTTCACTCCAGTCCTTGGCTCCACTGACTTTTAGCAATATGGATGGCTTCTGTGGTGAAATACTGTGTCAGACAATGCACAGAAGTTCCCCTTCTTAGCCATGGACATCGGAACAATATACCTGCATCTTGGGAAACTCAAGTTTTCCATTGACCTTGGTTTTGCATGAGCAGGCTGCTGTTTGGTGAATGTTTTCTTCCCCCAGAATTCATATGCTAAAACAAGGCCCTCAGGACTGAGATTAGTCCTCTTATTAGAAGACTTGAGAGCTCTTTTCCTCTTCTAGAATGTGAGAATACAGTCAGGCACTGTACATCAGAATGCAGACACCAACACCACATCTGCCTGCACCTTAGTGTTAGACTTTGGCCTCTACAGTGATGAGAAAGAAATTTCTGTTGCTTTTAGCCACCCAATCTATGGTACTTTGTTGTAGCATCCAAACATAAAGCCACAGATCTGTGTCTGTATCAAACCCAGCTTCCCCAGTTATGAGTTTCATAGCTGCTTATATTAGCTTGCTAAGGCTGCCACAGCACAATGTCAAAGGCTAGGAGACTTAAACCACAGAAATTTATTTTCCCACAGTTATGGAGGCTAGAAGTCCAAGACCAAGCTGTCAGCTGAGTTGGCCCCTTCTGAGGCTGCTTGGGAAGGGTCTCTTCCAGGCCTGCGACCTACCTGGGCTTGTAGGTGGCCATCTCCTCCCTGTCTTCACGTGACTTGTCACTGTGTGTGCCTGTGTCCTAATCTTTTCTTGTACAGACAGAAGTCATACTGATGAGATTCCATCCTAATGGCCTCATTTTGGCTCGGTTACTTCTAAAGGACCTGTCTATAAGTACAGTCACATTCTGAGGTTTAGGGGTTAGGATTTCAACAGATGAATGTGGGGACGTGATGGCACAGTGCAGCCCATAATGCCACTAACATGAATTAATGTTCTGTACCTGTTGACAGGTAGGGAGCTGGGGCCGATTGCCACTTAGGGGTAGTAAGAGTAGGATGTGTGCTGGGACAGGATCCTCACATACAGAGTCTCCAAGGGCTCCGGCCTCGGAAGAAATTGGCTGTCTCTTCCTTTGCGAAGCTTACTAGTGTGAGACACAACCTCAGGAGCCACTGTCCCTTCCGCCAACTCCTTTGGCTGAGAATGCTTGGAGTCCCCTTCTTTAGCCTCTCTTCTCTACCCTGAAAGGCATGTTTTCTTCCTCCAGGCGGGCAGCCTCTCCCGTGTGTCTCCAGGTATGAAGGTATAGAGCAAGTAGATCTTCCATCTGGGAGCCTTTGGTTAGATAGGTGACTGGATGGCAGCCTGTCCTGGGAGGGATGCATACTGAGCCTGGAGTGTTAGCATAGGTTTCTCTGTTGGTCCCCATTTAGCCCCCAGACCATCATCCAATCGCTGTGTTTTGTGTTGCCCCATACAGAGCCAGGCTGTCTGGGAGAGGGCAGGGGGCAGGGATTGTGTGTGTGCTGGGCCTCAGGCCATTGTGCTGTTTCCTTGCAGTTGAAGAGCAAGTGGGATGAGTCCATCTTCACAAAAGGCTGCATCCAGGCACTGGAGGGCTGGCTCCCCAGGAACATCTACATTGTGGCTGGTGTCTTCATCGCTATCTCACTGCTGCAGGTGTGCCCAGAGTTTGACTGTTGGGCCCTTAACAGAGTGAGCTTGTCCACGTGGTGTGCTGTGAAGAATCCTAGCCCAGAAAATAGAATATCCAAGGCAGGCTTCTTGTGTGCGCGTGTGCATGCGTGCGTTTGTGTGCGCGTGTGTGTGTGTGTGTGTGTGTGTGCGTGTGTGTGTGTGTGTGTGTGTGTGTGTGTGTGTGTGTGTTTGTTGCCACCTGTAAATTTATGTTGGGTGGGCCTAGGATGGGATGTGGCTCCTCTGTCCCCTTGGTCTGCTACCTAAAGTGAAGCCCTGTGTGAGGCCGGCAGACTCGGGGGACAGTGACTCTGTAGAGGACCTAGTAGGGCTTATCGCCCTTCTGGTGGCCTTGATTGGAGTGCATGACCAGGTGACTCTCACCTGCTTTGGAGTCCTTCCGTCCTGGTGGGTGGAAGTAGCAGGATTTAAGGAGCTACAGAATGGGGGTAGCATTGCCTATTAGCTGGGGCTTGACGAAGGAAGGCCCAAGGCTCAGGCCTGTGTAGTCACCTCAAAACTTCTTTATTCATGTCCCTGGTCAGCCTTTCTGGAGTCTTCTCTGACCACACAGGCCCCTCTGGCCCCTGACTGTTTGTGACTCACAGCTGTGCTTCTTCATTTAAACCAACCTTCCCATGTGGAAGGATATTGGTGGCCCGGGGGCAGTGAGGCCTGGAGTGAATGGGGTGACTGGTGTCTGTCTAGAAGTTGGTAGAGAAAGTCAAGAATTATTTATGGTACCAGAGAAACCATCAGCTTCAGGACTTGCAAGGAAGGGGAGTTTGTAACTTCGAGTAACTTCTGGGACGGTAGAGGCTGTGCTTACATGGAGAACATGTGTTGGGCAGCTCTGCCTTGAAGAGGTGGCTGGGGTGGACCTGGCCATCAACCACATCACATGTCTTCACTCTTCCATTGTGTTGAGTGACTGCAGAGGGAGACTTAAGAGAGAAGCTTGTGGAAAAGGGAAGGAAAAAACTACTTGTGAAATTTGTGAAATGGGCAAGAGAATCAACTTCCGAGAGACTGACTTTAATTATAAAACACAGGAAGAACTTAAAAAGAAGAGAAAAAAAAACCACCCAGGCTTCTAAAGGTTACCAAGTTCATGTTAGCCTGTTCAGGTAGAAAAACAGCAAGTTTTCTTATGACTTCCTGTCTGCCAGGGTTAGGATGTGTCTACAGACATCAGGCAGCCAGGGTCATGGCTGTGAGGTTATTCTTTTAGGAATCAGACCTAGTCAGGGTGGCTGGTTCTGAATAGTTGGTGTTATTTTCACTTTGATCCATGCCTCAAAAATGTGGGTCTCACTCTTGGCAGTGGGCCGAACCTCTGTTGCTCTTGGCACCTGCAGGCCTGAGGGGTGCAGCAGCCTGCCTCATTCGCCACGTACCCAAGCTTTGGCCTTGCTTTGGCCGTAGCCTGGAGGGTGGACGAGGACGTGGCATGCAGGCGGTCTCTACCAGCTGGCCTCTACTCCCTGCCACCTGCCTTGGGCCACTGACTACTGACTTTGCTTTCAGATCTTTGGCATCTTCCTGGCGAGGACCCTTATCTCAGACATCGAGGCGGTGAAGGCAGGCCATCACTTCTGAGGAGCACAGGCAACAAGCAGAGCTGAGCCACATGTGGAGGCCAAGCCCTTCACTGTCCAGCAGGAGAAGCCGACGCAGCCACCCAGAGCTAGTGCCCTGTCTTCAGCATCAGTGTGATGTGACCGTCCTGTTTCTTCTTGCTGGTGCTGAAGACCGAGGCCCCTTCTCACTGCCCAGACTTGACATGGCATCTTTGCCGGGGTTTGCCCAGAGACATAGAATGTTTTCTTATGTGGAGTAATGACTCTGATGATAGATGGCTCCTGTGGCTGCAAGGAGGGCTTGATGGCCTTCTTAGAGCCTGAGAGCCTCTGTAGACTCTGGCCCCCTCAGGGCAGGCTCTGGCTTTCCTCAGCCGGGTCTTCTGAGGGTGGAGCATGTGTGTGAGACCAGGAGGTGAGGGCAAGCACACCAGATCAGGAAGCACAGGTCCTGCACTAGTTGTGAAGGGACAAATGGCCTGCTGGGCCCCCAAATGCCAGCAGGGTTTGTGGTGGTGTCAGAAACCAGGGGTTGTTTGCAGGATCTTCAGCCATGTCCACATGAAGTAAACCTGAGCCAGTGTACGGCTGGTGCTGGGGGAGCATCTTGCCACTGCCCTCCAAGCCCACACTGCTCTTCCAGGGCAGAACGGCTGCTTGTCCCCATAGCATTAAGCCCCGGGGCTCTGCTGAGAGCCAGCTCTCCTGTTCTTAAAGCATGTAAATAGTTTATTTATAGGGGTAAGAGTGTTCCCACACCATGTCTTCATTTCCTCTTCCTCCCCAGCATTCTCCTCTCAACAGCCTTACCCAGTGTCTGGGACCAAGCCGTCCCTTTCAGTTCTCTGTCTCAAGAACCAGCTGTGACAGCCTTTCCCTCCAGTCCATGTGTTCCTCTTTCTCTGTGCACCCCCACCTGCCCCACTTGGCCTCACTGTCTTCTGGTCTTGGTGCTACTGAAACTGCCACCCAGAACTTGAATCCCCACTCACCCTCCTTCCCCACCACCCACCAGGGAGCCCCAATCCTAGATGGCAAACTGGAAACTGGGCTCCTATCTTGGCCACATGCAGCTGGTGACCCGGAATGTGTTGTCCCTGGAGGGCAGCGCTCTAGTCAAGCCCTGGTGAGCTACAGACCCCAGGTGCTTGGGACGTCTCATTTCTAACTTTTGTAGTGACTCCTCTGCCTGGATGTCTTTGGTCACGTTCTGACTTCCTGTTCTGGGGCTGCTCTTGGAAATGATGTCTGTCTTACGTTCTGAATACCCCTGAGGCATGGTTGGGCATCTGTCCATCTTGGGCTGGGCTACTCTCTAATGCTTCTCTGTAGCTTGTACCTGTTCTTACTGTTCAGGGATTGAGTGCTGCCTTCAGTTACTTGCCGAGGTGTACATTCTAATGTGGTGTATACTGGTGATACTGGTGGGTGTGTGTTCATGATGATGATGATGATGATGATGATGTCATAATTTTTTTTATAATTCTCTATAGAGGAAGAAGAATGCTTGTGTTTTTAGGAAGTGTGATGCTTCTCTTGGACTGCCAAACTCTTTTATGGAATATATCTTTATATTAATGCTGCTGTTTGGGTCATTTTTGTTTTGGTTCACTATTAAAATAGCTTGAAGCATCTTGGTGATAAAGTCAGCCACCAAGGGGATCCAAGGTATCTACCATCAGGTGTGACTGGATGGTACAAGAGCCCAGATGGTTAGGGCACACTATCATTAGCATGTTCTGACGTCAATTTCACATATCCTTCATCTGTAGCTACAGTTCAAACAAGGTGGTTCATGGCTTTGCCACCCCCAGCTATGAGCATGAGCTGGAAGAACGTCAACTCCAGGGCCCAGGAAAGCTTGTCAGTTGTTTGTGAGTAGCTCTGGAAACACTGCTGATTCAGGCAGAAGCACTCAGGGACCACGGTCAGAGGCTGGACACCTCTGCCGCATGAACCACGTGGCCTGGACTTGCTGGCTGTCTATAACAAGTGGGCTAGGTGGCACCTGTTAGTGGCAGTGCCTGTCTCAACAGGCCCCTGACCCAGCCTCCCTGGAGGCAGCAATGACTGTAGATACTCCCTGCTGGTATACTGATACCAAGGGCGTCTGGCAGCCCTTGCTCTTCATGTAGACCTGCAGGCTGAATCCGTCTGGAGTCTTTCCCCATGTCACACAACCCTGTTTAGGATGAAGTCCAGTCATGACTTCCAGAGTTGGATTTATTTCCCAATTAATTTTTAAAACGGGGTCACATCAGCCCATCTCATCTGATGAACTAGCTTGATGGTGAATGAGTGAAAAGAGCTGGGGAATTGTGAGAATGGGTGTTAAGCTTTCTATTGCTGTGATAAAACACTGACTTAGCTTGGGGAGGCAAGGTTTTTTTTTTCACTTTATAGACCACAGCCCATCATGGAGGGAAGCCAGGCAGGAACTTGGGGCAGGAAACTAGAGTCAGGAGCTGAAGCATAGACCATGGAGGAGGAAACTGCTTACTGGCTGGCTCCTCTGGCCCATGATCAGCCTGCTTTCTTATTACAATCCAGGCCCACCTGCTGAGGGTGGCACCACCCAGAGTGGGCCTCCCCCATCACTCAACAGTCAATGCCTCACAGACATGGTCACAGGCCAGTCCAAGAGAGGAAGTTCCCCACTGAGGTTTCGTCCTTTTGGGTGTGTCAAGTTGGCATCTGAAGCTATCCAGCACTGTGTCAGAGTGTCTTACACATGTGGCACTAGGCACAACAACTCAATCCTTCCTTGGCTTGACCTGAGCTCCTACCTTCCTTATCCTCTTAGGCTAGACAGGCCAACATGTGACCTTTATTATTTTTTGTTGCTGTGACAAAACACCATGGCCCAAAGAGACTTATGGAAGGCAGACTTTATTTGGCCTTATGATACCAGAGGGAGAGTTCACAATGGCAGGCTTCGCAGCAGGTGGCTGGAGCAGGAAGGTGGGAGATCATCTTGAAACACAGTATGCAGAGAAAGTGTGCTAGAAATGGGGTGAGGCCATAAACTCTCAAAACTTGCCCCCAGTGATGCAACACCTCCTAAATGTTCTGTAACCTCCTGAAACTGTGCCACCACCTGGGGACCAAGCATTCAGATACCTGAGCCTATGGGGGACATTTCTCATTCAAAGCACCTCATGACCTCTGCACACTTCTTTACCACTTGCTTCAGTCCTTCCTGTGCCCTCTTGCCCAAATGCCCATCCTAAAGGCTTGGTTTGGCCTGGCCTGGCCTTTCCTTTCCCAGGTAACTTCTGACCTGATTACTCTGCCCCTCACCCCCACTGCAGTTTCCACGTGGCCAGTTGTTAAACCCTCGACTTCTGTGACATCTAACACTAGACTACCCTCACTCCTTGTTTTTAAGGCCTCGGAACACCACTTCTGACTTTCCTGTGTGTCCTCAGACTTTTGCTGTTTGTGTCCTCAGTGGTCCCCAAGGCTTTTTGCTGCCGCAGGGCAGAGCCCTCAGCCAGACAGGAAAACCATGTGCATTGCCCTTCAAGAAACCTGGCATGAAGTGTTCCTACACAAATAGTGTGACAAATTAATGGACACAGAACCAACCACGTAGGAGCACAGAGCTGAGAACAGAGTTAAAAACTCACTTGATTCCTGGAGCAGCGCTGAGGGAAGCCGTCTTCATACTCAAAACATGAGGCGTGGAGAAAGGTAAGTTGCCAACAAAGGTTTGGAAAGGCTTCATTCCAGTTCTGCAAACTCTGCCCTCTTTGTACCTGGAGCTGGGTCCGTCCTGACTAGCAGCTCTGGGAATGGTCAGTGAGCTCACTTTTATGTAAGACCCAAGGTTTGAGTAGCACTGTATTCAGCCCACAGACTGCCCTCTGGTTCATATGAGGTGCTTACTTTCCTAAAACAAGGTTTCTGAGGCAGGCCAGAGCTGCCACCCACATGCAAGCTTTCAGAAAGCTTTCTGTGCTGGACAGTGTACAATCAGATGTGGCCTTCTCTAGGAGATACACATTGGAGGCCACTGAGACAGGATGCATGAGTGTGGGCCACTCCTCAGTCTCAGCAGGAGGGGCCACTTGATGGCTTCCTGGCCTGTGCCCTGAGAGGTGCAGAACTTGTAGTATAGGGAAAGGGAGCCATACTGCAGGGGTCCCAGCACGTGAGGCGTCTTGCTGACTGGGAAAGTTCCTTTCAGTATCACAGCCCTAGCACCCATAGACCCTCAGCTGTGACAGTGAAGGAGAGGAGCAGCAGTATTGGGGGCCTTTGCTCCAATGTTATAACATTGTGTCTATGTCCCCAAAGACCACGGGCATCCAATTGTTGGCCTCGAACAATGGGAATATCTCCCACCCCACCCTCCACCCCATGATGGGTCTTGGTCAGGGTGCTTGTGCTGATCCCTCATGCCCAGTGGATGTTGCCCAGCCTTCAGGGCAGTCTGGGCCTCCTGCAGCCTCATTCGTCTGGGTGCCCTGAGGAGCCAGAGCTACCTGCCTTTAGGACCATTTGAGCTCCTTGTACAGTTGTCAAGAACTGGCCTTCTTTCTTGAAGGCACATAAAAGGAACATTAATCAGTTGCTTTTGGTGTCTCCAAGGAGCCCCAGGGAAATGTCAAAAGGACATTATAAAACTGGGGCTAGGGTATAACTTTGGGAGAAAGAGTTAAAGAATACCCACAAGTGGATACTGTTCTAGGGAGGTTAGCATTGTTGGGGTATCTGTTTTGGAAAGGGGGAAGCTCTGAGACGATTACTTCTTCACTTGGCATTCTTCTCTGGTCCGCATCTCATCCCAGCAGGCACTTCCCAAGCATGGCTTAATGACTACCAAAATAAATTATCACCTTGGACTGTAATTCTGTCACCTTAAACAACTTTTAAACTAGCCTTTTTTTTTTTTAACAGACATAAGTAAATGCTGTCTAAATAGAGTATGAAGTGAAAAGTATGTTTTCTGTTGCCCAGAGGCAACCACTCTTAAGGATCCTTCCGGAAAATGTCTTCAGATCTTCGTGCAAATGGAAATCATTTTACTCTGTGTCCTGTGATTCCTTTTATTTAATGTACTGGTCCATGGCACATTTGCCTGGTCAAGCTGTCCACTGTAGGGCTGTGCCATGAGCGAGTGGATTTCTCTCTCCAGGGGATTATGTTTGCAGTCCCAGGTAACAGAAAACCCCACTAAACCAACCTGAACAATGAGGGGAGGGTTTTGGCTCCTGAAACTGGAAAGTCCAGAGCTGGGGTAAGTTTCAAGGTTGGTGTGATCCAAGTGGCTCAGTGATGTCAGCAGGATCCGGTTTCCTTTTCTGTGTGCCACAGAATCCTCATCTGAGGATAAGGGAGAGACCCCTCTGCTTAGGACAAACCTTTAGCCTTCATGATGGGGCATCACGGTGGTGAAGCCATGGAGGCAAAGTAATTTTCCTTTGCCTGTTCATTCCATTTCAACCACGTGGCAGGAAACAGTTCTGTCTGAGGGGACATGATGCTGGGAATGCTAATTTCCCATCACCCTTTTTGGTACATCTTGCTTTTATAAGAGCTTATAAAATCCCACAGTGTGGCAAGGTAGATGGCTGGGGTGAGTCAAAGTGCGTTTTATGCAGGCATTGAGGACTTGTGTTTGAAGCTCACATAAAAGCTGGGCCCCTAACATGCCTGTAATACCAGTGTTCCTTCCAGGAGATGGGAGGGAGGTAGAGACAGGAGAATCCTGGGAAACTCGTGAGCCACCTAGCATGGTGTACACAGAGGGAAAAAAGAAAACCCAACAGAGACCTGGTCTCAGGGTGGAAGATGAGGACCAACACCCAAGGTTTTCCTCCGACCTCCACACGTGTCTGGTATGCAAACACACACACACAAATGTGCACAGACACATTGCACATATACACACATAAACTCTGCATATTCGGTCATTCAAATCACTTAATAGAGGTTTTAAGGGAGTTCTCCAGGGAGGTATGCTCATGTCTTAGTGAGTTCTAGGGGCTGAGTGTGCCAGGCCAGACCACTACCTACTGCTGGTGTGTGCCCTTGGTTGCCACTATTTTTGTAAGATCATAGTAAATCAAACGCCTTTCTTCGTGGTGTTTCAAGTATTAGATGAGATGAGGTAAGTAAAGCATTTGACAGGTCCAGGTTACTTAGTATGTACCCTCCCCAAATTATTACTAATATAATCTTGCCATTGAGGAGATTTATTATGTAGCTGCATTCCCACCATCTGAGCTACCTGGGTTGAATGTCATGCAGCTCAAGTCCTAAGCTGAGCCTAAATGAGTCACGTCTGTCTCTTTAGGAACAAGGCTTTCAGGTCTGCTGGGATCCTCAGCAGGTCTTCAGAGTTCAGGTCTGTTGCTCTCTCTACTGTAACGGAGGGGGCTGGTTCTTCCCTCAAGTGTGAATCCTGCCAGAAGCTACACAAGATGTTGCCCCGATCCTGGGGAAGCAGCAGAGAAGCCCTTTCCTATCACAGGTACCTGTCAGGAGCCCAGGAGGGAGGAGTAAGAAGGGGCTTGGAGGAGCTGAGTGGACAGAAGGAAGTGCCTGGCATATTGGTATAGCAGGCCTGGTGCAAGC